CTGTCTCCCTTTACGCCTTACCTCCTACCCTTCCAGGGCTTTCAAAAGGAGACAGACCCAGTGTTCCCACAGACTGGATCTGCGACTCCACCAGACTCAAAGGGCTTCAGTCCACTTACCCCATGTGTCTGTCCCTGGGATAGGGTGAGGCTGAGGCAGAGAAGAGATGTGCTTCTCCTTGCCCACCTCCTCTTCTGTCCTAGATTGTCCCTGAGCCAGGGTCTGTAAACCCAGCACTTTACATGTGTTCACATGTGTAACTACACACACACACTCATGCCTATACAAGCTTCTGTCTCCCCACTCCCACCCCTGTAGCTGCTGTTGCCTCCCCTCTCAGGCTGGTGCTGGATCCTTCCGATAGTGGAAGCCCTGGCTGCAGGCAGCCTTCCAGGCAATATGAAGATAGGAGGCCCAAGAAGCGATCTGGTAATGAGAGGCGGGGCCGGACAGTGATTTATGATATTAAAAAAGCTCAACCCCACTGCCTGCCTCTGATGTTACTACTGAATGGGCATGGGGAGGGCCGCGAAGTGTTAACCCCTGAGCAAATCCCAGCTTAGAAGAGGGGAGAGAAGGCCTATGGCCTTGTAAATGGAAAGGTCCTCCAGTGTTGGCGGGCTCCAGCGAGCCTGTGGTTTTACATCTGCGGGATGGGCTGTGTGGGGGAGTGCTGATGGGACACAGCCTGGGGACAGACTGCTTTCTGTGTCTGAACTGAGTAACTTAATGGCTTCCTTTCCTCCCCTCCCCTGTGAAAGTCCTGAACTCCCCTGAAGCCCCTCCCTCTGTCCATCTGCTCTGGGTGAGGTAGTTGAGGCCTAGGAGAGCTGAGGGGGAGTAAACCGGACATGGACTTTGGTTTATTGGAAACTTTGGCAAACAGAAGGGGGAGGAAGGAGAGCCCACATAGCAAAAACAGCCACTCTAATCAGGGCCAAGCTGCGGTCAAGGTAGGGAGGTGGAAGGGATGGGTGACCGGGTCCTGGGTTTGGAGGTGGGGCTTGTCCTGGGGTGCACACTCCCATCCCTGTGCAGCGCGGAGGGATGGTGGCGTCGGAGAAAACCAGACCTTCCCATTGACCTCAGTATTGTCAGCCTAGTGCTACTCTGGACGACTAGGAGGGGTGGCGCTACCTTATCTGGGGCGTGCAGGCCTGTGGTAGCCACCCCCCCTTTCTAGGGCCTGGGAGCTGAGGTCACATTTCCTCTCCCTATCCAGCTTCATGCCCTCCCCCTCCCCCCACCAAACAGGTTTGCGCACTCTGAGTGCGGGAGGACACCCCACGGCCTCCCACCCAGCTCTCAGGAATGAGCCTGAAGGCGGGTGCGCGGGGCGGGGAGGGGTGGGGGGAGAGGGAT